CCTATAATTAGTCTCCTCCAAATCACCCCCCCAAATGAACAATTATTTAGTCCGGTGAACGTACGCTCTTCTACGTTCGGCCACCAATGTTATAACGCCACGTAGCTTGAAGAAAAGTCGCCGACCCGACCCGCTGTGTTTTGGGTTTTCGCACGTGTTAAAAGTAATAATTGTTCCCAAATTTGTCCTTTTTATTTAGAAAATGTCTCCTAATTAATTCCCTCCAAATTAACCCCCAAATCTGCCCTCTTCAATTAGAAAATATTTTCTAATTAATTATCTTCTTAGTTCCTCTCCTAACTTAGTTAATTAATGATTTGTTGGGCCCCACCAGGGGAGCCAAAATTTACTCATGTTTCTCCCCTTGTTGGTCCGCCCCTCCCTGGTCCGCCAATTGCTGGATCAACCGGTCTAGCACTTCCTTGGTCCAGCCCTTGTGGGATGCCATTATATCAAAACTCCCCACTAAAGTATCACATTTTCCTCAACTTGGAATGAATGAAACTGTTGTTGAATAACATGGTAGGGCTCCCACATGGTCTCCTACTTTGGCAGGTCCTTCGTCCTGATCAACACTTGTTTGTTTCTTATTACTCAATATTGCACTCATTTGACCTCCAATGGTTCCAACAACACCTCCATGTCGTCCGTCAAGGTTGAGGGAAGTGAAGAAGATGTAATGTGCTCTCCTAGCACCCATTGAAGCTGAGACACATGAAACATTGGGTGGATGGCTGATGACGACGGTAACAGTAGGCGATATGTCACCGCCTTAATGGGCTCCACTATCTCGTAATGACCAAAATATCGGGGTGATAACTTATCATTCCATCTCCGTGCCAAGGTTTTCTACTTGTAGGGATGAAGGTTCAAGTAAACCCCACGTCAAATTGAATGTCTCTCTTTTGTACATCCGCCTTCCGCTTCATAATTTTTTGAGCTTTTAACAAATGTCCCTTCAGCTACCCCAATATCTTGCTCTGTCCTCCAATTACTGCTCTACCGAAGCCAACGGTGTACTGCCTTATCCATAATATATCAAGTGAGGCGGATCTCTTCCATATAGCATCTTGAACGATGTAGTCTGAGCTTCCAAATGGTAGAAGTGTTTTATCAATACTCTTCCCAAGCCAACCATTTTCCCATAACTTTAGTGTTTTTAATATAAAGAACCGTAGATAAGTTTCCACACTACGATTGACTACCTTCGTTAGTGCTCAGCAAGATCTTGTCTTGATCAGATACGATCGATTCCAGTATCCCATGTAGTCTCACCACCTCCCTCATAAAAATCATTGCTACTGATATTATTGTATAGGGGTGGAGAAGGTGAATGAAATGGGCATACTTAATCGATCCACTACCACCAGTATCATAGTGTGTCCATCTAACTTTGGCAACCCTTCAATGAATTCAATGGTCACCTCCTCCCACACATTTTCAAGCAGAGCTAAAGGTTGGTGAAGCATTCTTGGAGACATAGCTAAATACTTGTGCCTCTGGCATTTATCACAACAAGCCACCATCTTTTGAACATCCTTTTGCATATCCTCCAAATACAGCTCTGCAGAGAGCCGATTATGTCTTTTTGAAGCAAGCAGGGAATGCTAAAAGAACTCTTTGGAAGCACAAACCGCCTATAATAAAGCAACTTTTGTCCCAGATGATTGTCCTTATTTCCTGCTAGCTACTACCTAATTTTCCTCAACCCTGCATCCCGTTCGCTCACTCTCCTCAGTGCTTTGCAGTCAATCACCAAGGGCACAAAAAATTCCATTATCTGGGGTTCCCCCATGCATCTGGATAAACCATCTACTATTTTTTTCCAACTCCAGATCGATACTAAATCTTAAAATCATTGTCCAATAACTTTGAAAGCCATATTTGATGCTCCTCAGTGACCACTCTGTTCCAACAAATACTTCAAACTCCTCTTGTTAGTTCTAACGATGAAATGTCTTCCCAATAAATAAGGTCGCCATTTCTGAATGGATAGCACAATCGCCATCATCTTCCTTTCATAAACTGACTTGAGTCTTGCCCTGGTATTTAACACTTGATTGAAATATGCCACTGGTCTTTGGTTATGCATGAGTACCGCTTCTAACCCAAAATATGAGGCATCTATCTCAACTCGTAAAGACTGGCTGGAATCTAGGAGAGCTAAGACTAGCACACTGGTCATAACCTTTTTCAACTCAAAACCTTGGGTGGCTGACTTTCCCCACTTGAAGTTGTTCTTCTTGAGATGTTCTGTCAACGACCCCACTATAGAACTATATCATTTCACAAATTTTTGATAGTAGCCTATGAGTCTCAAGAATCCTCTCAGTTCCTTTAAGGACTTGGGTTAGTCCATCCGAGCAGGCCTTAATCTTTTTCTAGTTAGCTGTCACCCCCTCCTAAGATACCACATAGCCTAAATATTCTACTGGTGGTTGGGCGAAAGAACATTTCTTATGATTGGCAAACAAAGAGTGCTTCATTAAAGTAGACATCACCACTCCCAAATGCTCCAAGTGCTCCCTCTCTGATCAACTGTATACCAATTTTCGTAAAAAAATGCCAGCATTAGCCTTCGCAAGTTGGACTGGAATATCCTGTTCATCAGAGATTGGAAGATGGCTGGTGCGTTAGTGAGGCTAAAGGGCATCACCAAGAATTTATAGTGTCCCTCATGTGTCCAGAAAGCTGTCTTGGTATCTCCTTATCACATTATGATCTGGTGGTACCCGGATTTCAAGTCGATCTTGGAGAATATCACAGATCCATGCAACTCAGCAAACATCTCATCAATGTTTGGTATGAGAAACTTATATGGTATAATTTTCTTATTCAAAGCACAATAATCTACACAGAACCTTCAACTCTCTTATTTCTTCTTCACCAAAAATACAGGATTAGAGAAAGGGCTTACACTGGGCTTGATAGTTCCAACTTCAAGCTTCTCCCGAATTAGTTTCTCAATCTCGTCCTTCTAGATCTGAGGGTAGTGGTATGGCCGGACACTAATGGGGGAGATTCCTTCATTCAAAATAATAGAGTGCTGCTCTAGTGGGGGTGGTAATCCCTGGGAAGCTAGAATGCCTTTAAATACAAAATATTTTTAGCTTCCTAATCTTTTGATCTTCCATGCCCCAATGTCCCCTTCCACCCCCCATGCCTCCCATGAAGCGAGCATTGGGGTCTCTCCATGGTTCCTTCTCTTTCTTTCCCCATTCATATTCCCTCCTTGTATATTCCCTATCCACCCCTCTTCTCGGTAGAGGATCTAGGCGGGGTATTTCCTTTTCCCATCCTAAAATATCCCCCTCTTTGTCTTCCCTCGCCATGCCATCTTCCTTATTTTTTTTTGCTTATGGCGGAGCCGTTTTAGTATGAAGCTCCAACATCCGCTTCATTATCTCCTATATATTCCCAAACATTTCTTCTAACGCTGAAATATGTTTGTTCACATCCGCTTGTAGTTGCCTTACTCCCCCCTCCAACTTTTCTTCTAACGTCTCAACTCCTTTTTCGGCCATCGATACCCGGATCAAAGCTTTAACCGTGAAAATCAGCAACTTTGATGCGAATCTGACATCCAAACACTGAAAATCAAATAACATAAAGGAAAAATCTCAGCAGGAATCAGCGACAATAACTGGGATTTCAGTCCAGGACACCGCTTTGATATCAATTTGATATGCCTTGGTATCAAAAATAGCCAATGAACAAGGACAAACTCAGCAAACAACTGATTTTTATTGATAAACTCAAAAATATGCAAAAAAAAAAGATATAATGGTCCACTTTTAAGAGGAGGATATTCTCTCTCAAACACTAGACGCCGTTAGGATCCCTCACAAAATCAGTAGACAAACAATCATTCACAAATTCTACATACAAAATATAACATAAACCCTACTACTTATAACAATCAATAAACAACAAATTTTAAAGCATACCTCCCCCAATTTCCTCTCAAATTAGCCATCTTTAATTAGGAAATATTTTCTAATCAATTCACATCTTAACTCCTCTCCTAACATAGTGAATTAATGGTTTGCCGGGCCCCACAAGGGGAGCCAATATTTGCTCAAGTTCCACCTCTTGTTGGTCCGCCCCTTCCTAGTCCGCCAATTGTTGTACCGACCGGTCCATCTCTTCCTTGGTCCAACCATTGTCGCCTAACTATCTCCTAGTTGTAAGATGAAGAGAAGTCGGATGCACAAGACAAGGGGTTTACTAGATGAATGCCAGTGTCCTTATAAGCAGATTTTGTATGGTATGTTCATGAAATAAACTTAATGTTGTTTTATGAATCTAGCATGGCATATCCGTAATTTATGGTTTGTTTCTAACACGCATCCAATATGGCATCCTATCCAATATTTGTTGTCTTGTGATTTGTTTGTTTCTTGAAGAAGTGTTTATACTTTATCATACATGCTTTTTGATTCCCACTCTGATTAGGTTTTTTCAAATCTAATACAGAATGATTTTTCCGATTGTCTATGGACAGGGATACTTATAGGGGTTTGCAATCTAAGTGATTGGTTTCTACCTTATACTCTTTTACATAGTTTTTTTTCGCCTTTAAGAAAACTAATGCTTGTAGTCATCTTCCATCTGAAACCTCACATGCCTAGGGGCTTGGACTAAGATAATGTCCAAATATGGCATAATAAAGAGGATTAAAGGAAACTCCGTATTTTTCAGAGGAGGCAGAGGTCGGCATAGGAAGGAAATTCTGGGTGTTAGTCCTGGCGAAGATTTTGAGAAGTTTGGAAAAAAATAAATAATATGATTGATAGGACGGTCCTTCCTGCTGCACTCTCTGGAGGAGAATGCATTGGACAAAGATAAGATCACGAGGCAGAGGGGAAATATTTCCTGTGACAGCTGTCACTAATCATCCTTTTCTTTTGTTTAATTCTAATTGTTGATCTACTATTTTTTTTTAATCTTTTTATTTGCTCCCTGCTGTTTTCACCTAGAATTTTCTTTTCATGGAGCAGGGTCTTTCAGCTGGGCTATTAAGGCAAGCAACATACACAACTGCACGACTTGGATCATTTAGGTATGGTTATTGTTATTTATAGAAAGAATTGTTGTTGCTATGGAAAGACTTTACTTTCATGCTTAATTGCCTCGTTTGCATTCACAATTTGGTTTGGAGTGACTGCTGGCTTGATGTAGCTAGTAAAGTTGTTTTAAGTTCAGGTATAAAGTTCTATGAAGGTTAGGTATTCTGTTCCTAAGAACACTCTGGTTTTGGTTCAGTTCTGTAGTTACTAAATACTCTTAATCTTTTACAAAAATGTATTTTTTGTGAATATTTGGCATTTTTTATGTGAGATTGGGATTGAATTTGGACAAGTTATGAATTGTGTAGCATTACTCGTGAATGCCATTTATGCTTGCATTCCTGAATTACTGGACAAATATACCATGTCTCCTTTGGGTGTTTAATTCCTATTACAAGGATCCATCATTTGTTCTTATTTTTCCCCTATGGTCTTTATCTATTCAAACACTTATGTTTGATTACTTATTGACTAGGGTACTGACAAACAAAGCTACGGAGGCTAACGAAGGGAAGCCTTTGCCGCTCCTTCAGAAAGCTGGTATTGGGTTGGCAGCTGGAGCTATAGGCGCATGTGTTGGTAGTCCAGCTGATCTTGCACTCATCCGCATGCAGGCTGATGCAACTTTACCACCAGCACAACGCAGAAATTACACAAATGCCTTCCATGCACTCTTTCGTATTTCTGCCGACGAAGGGGTTCTTGCACTCTGGAAAGGTGCGGGTCCAACGATAGTGAGGGCAATGGCATTGAACATGGGCATGCTTGCCTCTTATGATCAGAGCGTGGAATTTTTCAGGGATTCACTTGGTTTTGGAGAAATTAGCACAGTTCTAGGTAAGAGTAGGCAGTCTATTTCATTAATGTTTTGTCTCTTTAATATATATATATATATATGGAAAAATTTTCAAACAGGCTAAGTACAAATTTAAATTTGGAAAACAGACCAACTTGGTCATTTATAAGCAAACTAAATGATAATTTAAAAAATAATATTAATTACTATAAATTACTAGAAATAACATTACTTATAAATGTGAATTTAAATATATATATATATATATATATATATATATAAAATTAAAATAAGGACATCGCGATGTGTCGGACAACTTTTGCCTCATGGACGACAAGTCCCCACATCAGTGAGAACTTCGTCTGTTCTTTAAATTTAAATTTATTGCCATCAATTTTTATTATTTAAATTTATATTTAGTTTGCTTATACACACACTACACACTAGATTCTTAATTTGTATATGATTTAGATGAATCAATCTATGACTTCTAATATGAAGAGCTCGTATAATGATGGTGATAGTAGCTAAGATGAAATTCAAAAAAGGAAAAAGAAATCGTTTGGAAGGAAATGCCAATCCTTTTATAGTACACATTTTCTATGGATAGACTATTTATTGATTATGTACTTGTTCTATTGCTTTGAACATTTTGAATGCCTTCCATAAGGAAAGCTCATCGTATCTTTGGAATAAATATAGACTGGAGGATTTATATCTTCAAATTAACCACATCAGTTCTTAATATTCGAAGCTTTTAAGAACGCTGATTTTCTGGTGTATTTGCAGGGGCCAGTGCTGTTTCAGGATTCTTTGCTTCTGCCTGTAGCTTGCCCTTCGACTATGTGAAAACACAGATCCAGAAAATGCAGCCAGATGCCTCTGGGAAATATCCCTATAGCGGATCTTTGGACTGTGCGATGAAGACCCTTAAGAGCGGAGGGCCTTTCAAATTTTACACTGGATTTCCAGTTTACTGCGTTAGAATTGCTCCTCATGTCATGGTATGAAATTCTTTCCACATTTTCTTATCAATTTAACTCTCAACCTAAATATGGGCCATTACATGGGCAAATTATTGCGTCCGGTGTCCGGATTCATCCGGACACCAATCCGGTGTCGCCACGTCACCAAAATACACCGGGACCCAGTGTATTTGGGTGACATGGCATCACTGGATTGGATGTCCGGACGCAATAATTCGCCCATTACATGACGAGCTTTCTATGCCTTCTATTCGATTGAATTGATTCATGGAGTCTATTTGCTGCAGATGACATGGATATTCTTGAATCAAATTCAGAAGATCCAGAAATCTGCGGGGCTCTAGGAACTTTATTTTACTTCTATATCCATATTAATTTTTGTCCAGAGATTCCGGCTTTTTTGAACTGTACCTGAGCCTGTTTTAGGGTCTTAGTTGCCCATTTAATCTGTTGGCAGCAATCGGCTGACTCTAAAGAGAAAAAAAGGAAATGTAATCCTCTGTTGCTGAATTTTTGTCTGGTTTTTTGTTGAAAATTTTTTGCTGATTTTTTATTTCTTATCTCTATTAATGGTACATTTTTGTGGGTAAAGATACAGTACATCTTATGATCTACCTGACTTGTTGAATTATCATGAAACATCTTATCTTTTCATAAGCCTGTTTTTTTTATTCTTCCACTTTCATGGGGCTGCTAACTTTTTTTGTCTTTAATTCGTTCGGTAGCTAGTATTTTTACTTATATTTTGGCATTTTTTTTGGGACATTTAGGCCATTTAAGGCAAACTCACACACACAACGCATACACATGGACTCGAACCTTGGACCTCTTAGTTGGAAGCCTAAGCTCTCAACCAATAGGCCAAGGGGAGTTGTGTTATTTTGGCATTTGAACCTTAACCTCCATCGCGGGGCAATTTTTGGTAAAAAAGGTTGGAAGTCAGAAAAAGAGTATTCTTGTAGAGATAATGTAGGACAAGGTAAAGGTATTTAATGGGATTTTGATGTTAAGGGCATTGCAAATAGCAGTAGCATTCATGGAGCCAATAGAAAAAAGAATGGAGCTCTTATTTTGATGAATGTGGAGATCAGAGGAAGAGGTAAAAGAGTTTAAAATGTCCCTCAAATATTCAATATTCATAATATTGTATTTAAAAAAAAACTATTGGAACTGCATAAAGTGTGTGATGCTTTCTCTATCATTTAAGCCTTCAAAGGTGAGATTAGAAGTAGCACCATCAATAAGGTTAGAGAAAGTGCCCATGATGATACAAAACAGTTAGGGGAGAGGGGGTAGCCCGCTCTTAAGCCAACAAGGAATCAAAGAAGCCTTCTAAGGCCTCATTAGCAGATTGAGAAATAAACATCATCAATGCAACCTTTGATGCAAGAATTGATAATCAATGGGAATCCTTTTTGAGCAAGATGAGCCAATAAGAATTTTTAAGACACAATATCAAAGGCTCTATAAATTTTGAATTTAGCACAAAAATATTTTTCTTAATAGATAAGTTAAACTCCCATAGAAGTTTAACAACAAGTAATATGTTATATTTAGAAATTCTTTAGTGAATGCAATCAGTTTGACTAGTTTGAATGATATGGGATAGTATATGCTTCATCAAAATTTTATCATAATTTTATTAAAATAATATTGCAAAGAGATATAGGCCAAACATATGCATTGTTGATAGCATGAGTTCTTTTGGGGATTAAAGTAATAGCATTGGTTTTAGCACATCTAGGCATAGCGCTAATGAGAAAAAAATCTTAACAACCAAACAGATGTGATGCCCAATGATATCCCAAGCATTTTTATAGAATTCATAGGTGTAACTATTAGGACTATGGGCAGAGGAGGAGGGAGTAGAGAAGATAATCTCTTTGATTTCCTTATTAGAAATACGAGCAACTAAAGAAGAAAGAAGATGTGAAGGAACAATATTACCAGCAGGGATAGATGTAATATTGGGGTTAGAAGGGATAAGAGAGTTGAAAAGGTTTTTGAAGTGTTGAATGATAGCATGAGCAATGATTTGTGGTGTGAAGAAAACTCCTGAAGTTGTGAAAATTTCATTGATTTTATTCTCATTCTATCTTGTTTTGATTCATACATAAAGAAACTCAAGATCATCTTCACCAGTAGACAGCCATCTAGCCTTGGATCTCTGAGAGATACAGGAGGCCCAAGATGAATAGCAATAGAAAATCTTGTAGTTAGAATCTTTTGTAGAGGCATTAAGAGAGTGATCTATAGGACTATTTTGAAGTTGGTTGTCTACCTTGGAGCTCTATAATAGAGTTAGATACGGATTTAGAGGAGGCTTAGCCTTTATATTTTATAACACTTTTGAGCTTCTACATCTTGGGATGAAAAGAATAAATTGGGCTCCCATAGGGATGAATGGCAGAGAGAAAAATGAGAGCATCCCATAAATCAAAAACTTTAAACCAATAATTTTTGAACAAAAATCTATGGTTTTTAACAGTCAGAGGGGTTACAAAAAATCACTAAAGGATTATAGTTAGAACATCTTGGGTTTTCTATTTTATAGAATGAGGAAGGGAAATGCTCTAGCCAAAGGTCATTAACAAGAACTCCATCCAACTTAATATGGATAGGGTTATCACTCCTCTGATAAAATCATGTGTAAAAGTGGCCAACAAAAATCAGATCATGAACACTTGCATTGAATATGAGATTGTAAAATCCTATAGTTTGCTATTATGTATTGCATTAGCTCCAGATTTTTCATGTTTGATTCTACAATAATTGAAATCACCCAAAAGCAAAAAGGCAAAGAAATGTTACAAGTATAACATAAAATACATTGTCAAACAAGAAGCCGTCAATGTGTGAGTTGGAATCATATACCATAGTGATTAGGTAAGAGGGGTTATTCCTAGAAAAAAAGAGTTCCAAGAATTAATTGGTTGGAAGAAAAAAAATGTTTAAATGTGACATTTGAAGAATTCCATTTAAGCCATATTCTGCCTGGGTCAAAGACATCAAAGTTATTGAAATAAGCTTCATTATCAAAAAATTTATGAGAGGCCTCAAACCAGGGGTCTGCAGCTATTGAGCTATGAACTTTAACTTCAACAATACATAACATGACAAGCTTATGTGAACAGATAAATGCATTGCAATTAAGGATTTTTGTAGGGCTATTTAGACCTTAACATTTAGTAAGCAATGTTAGGAAAGGTCATTGGGATTTTGTGTTGCGGTGGTTACCTTCTTAACATTCTTTGATCTAGTGGACTTGGAGTTTTAGTTAGGGGGTTGTGGGTTTTAAGGAGCAATGACTTTGGTTGGAGGCTTGACTGTGATCAGGCTAAATTGTGACACTTTTGTTTCAAACACTAAGAACTTGTTATGAATGGTTAGATTGTTAGCTTGTTGGGAAAGAAGAAGGATAGTTGGTTCTGGTTGAGGTAGAGGGTTAGCTTGACCTTCGAAAAGGTTAGGGACATCAGAAGGGGAGTTTAGGTTAGGAAGTAGTTCTTTGCCTGAACTGGTTAAAGCTTCATAATGCTATAATGAAATCACACTAGAAGGAATCCCTTCCAAACTGAGGTTATTGATGGATCATTGGCAACTAGTGGGTGGAAGGAAGGAATTTGACCATATGAATAGAGAAGCAAGGTAAGAGTTTATGGGGCTTACAATTAACACTTCTTCCCTGAGTTTTTCTACATTGGTAGGGGGATTTGAAGAGGGTTTGATGTGGCAGAGATTAGGAGGATGCACCTTAGATCCATAGCTCAAGTAAGTGGTGGGTTTCCTATCATATTGTACTATCAGGTTAAAAAAAAATTTCAACAACAAAAATATAACTTTCATTCATCATGGGAGAGGAGTTTTGGACTTGAACATAGACACTTAAAAAGGTTAATTGAGTTTTCTCTGCCGTTGGAGAGTCAACAACAAGAGGAGAACTAATACAGCTTATGATTTTAGAAATGCCCTTGATATGAGAGTGAGCACACCTAAGTTTTTTAGGATATCAGAACATAGAGACCCATAGTAAGGCCTACTACCTATAGAGTATACAAGGGATTTCCCCCACTTTTTGGAACCATCGATGATTTCTTCTTATATAAAATGAGAAAACCTGTCATACCCCACAATAGTTTCTTTTTTATATAAAAGAAACAAAGTAAAATTATGTGTGTTATAACATCTCATACATACAGGTGTAAATAAATTAACGATGGAGTAGGGGCTTTTTTGTTTGTTCTTGATTGGCTCATTATCAAAGTGAATAGAGCTATTATAGGTTTACTATAGCTACTTGTCCTAACATATCAAAAAGAGGACCTTATGACTCCCAATGCCTAACATATGTCAAATATTCAAAAACATGGCCCCTCATGACTCCCTGTGCATTTAACACCAAAATAAAACTTCCAAAACAAAACTTCCCATGCACATTAAAACTCCTCAAAATCACACAATTCAAGAAGATAAGCACAAATATCATTATAATTCAGTGCATGAAATATAAATAAATCAATTGGTAGAAATTCACTCTGTGCTATAGCAGTGGACTAATATATCAACAATTAAGTAGAAATTTAACATTTTAAAAATTTGTCAGATTACCAATGATTATTCAAAATATTATTTTGATACTTTCATTATACTACAATATTATTTTATGGGGTTAAAATTATTTTGTAGATAAATAAAATAGCATACCTTTTGAGCTACCCTACAAACAATTTTCATAAAAAAATTTTAATGCCCAAAATTATCATATCTACAACATATAGAAAGTTAAGCGATGAATGGTATGTAAGTACCAAGCTTTACCAATTTTCCTTAATAAAATTACAAATTAAATTAGGAAAATCCAAAAATATTTATATTTTTGAAAATTGAGATAAGTAGAATATAACCTACCATGAGCCAAACAACTTTCAGAATTGGGTTAATAGTTGAAAGTAGATCAGAGTCACACAACCATAACTTTCTCTCATTTGATCCTCCTCTATCTCTCTCTCTAGCCATCCGTCTTGAAATGAGAAAATGGATTAAAATAGTGGAAAAGGATATTATATTATAAAATTTGAGCATGGCGCTTTGGTAGCTGATTATGTGAACTGAAACACTCGCCTTATAGGAGAACGGTGATGTAGTGCCGCTACCAGTGCCATAACAGCCGAATTAATTTGGCCAAAAGATAGAGAGCTCAAAGTCATGATGTAATGCCAAACCCAACATTGTGAAGACCAAAGGGAAACATTTTATATTATCCAAACACGCATACAGACCCTTGGAACCTGCTTCAAATAAGATTCTAACACACACACATACAAAACACTTATAGACACATACAAGAGGTGTAAACAATAAATTTTTTGAGTTTACTTTACCATATCAGATTAAAATAGGTGCAACTATACACAGATTCAACTGGTGTTATAATTCTCTCATTCTTAGAAGAATATTATCTTTGATATTTCAAAACTTAGATCAATGAAATAGATCATGGTATATCTTTCTCATCTCGAACTTCTCCCAAGTAGCTTTTCTTCACATTCTTTATTTGCAATAATCTTTTTTGGTTCCTCTCTATAACTCAAATTCAAATGGATTTTAAATTTATCGACTGATATTTGATTTCTAGACTTAGATACCCACTTTTTCAG